ACATTCCACAGTTCGGCCATAAAACTCCCTAATTACCTTGTTTTCATGCTCAGGATCATTGTTCTAAAACCGGAGGAATATGTACGATAGTAAGAGCTGTGAGCCAAATTCAATGTGCTGGAGTACAGAGACTAGATAATGAGAAACATATCACTATCAGTTTAAAGACTAGCCGCTTAAAAGTTAGTGTTTGATACAAATATTCCAGTAACAAGGCGCACCCTGGAGATTTGATGATTCACCACAGGCAAGAACAAGAAGAGCCAGTCGCTTTTTAAGCCAAGAAAAATATGCAGAAACCAACTTAAATAATTGAGGTCAGAGGGAGACACTTGCTTTAATCCCTGTGAAGGCCCAGTTCACCGCATCCATCACTCAGAAACCCGTGCAACAGCGCAGGCCATTCATCACTCACTCTGGGATTTATTAGTTAGGACTGGAGCCGGGAGGGTGAGAGGTTAAATGAGGAGCATTGTGTTCGCGGTTATCAGCAGAGAGAGCCCAGAGTGGGTCTGTCTGCTAATCCACAGACACACACAGACACACACCATCAGACATTCAATCAACACTGCGGCTGCCAGAGCTGCAAGTTAAATATACATCCATGTAGAGACATGGATGTGTGAAACAGTACACGCACACACATTCACACACACGCTGATCACATTAGCTCGCACACACATACCAAACAATCTGATAAGACTTAAGCTCATAAACACTGTCTCACACAAACATCCTATGGAAATGGGAGCGGACTGCAGCCCAGCAAAATACTTGACGGGTGCCTAAACACATGAACAACATGAGCATACTTCTTAAGCATGCTGTATGACCAAAGCGCACACACTCTCATGCTCACTCTTTGTCAAATACACGCACAGAACTTGGTATAAACAGGGCCACAGCTAGCCGGATTGCCCAGGGGCACCTCAACATGTCTCATCACTGTAAGCTAATGTTGAACACAGCGGTGGAGCTTGGCGTAGCTGCTGTCACTTTGGCTTCGGATCCAGGTTATGTGCTCGGAGCGCAAATGGGCCAGGTTCTGCATTACAGGGTCACCGCTTTTACAAGAGATGCACACTTTTTTCCAGGGACAAACGCAACCAACATGTAAGTGTTGCACAGGCTTTTATTACTAGCTGCAGCTTAAAAGCCTTTCTGCTGTGCTCAAATCTTTTACATTCAGCTACAAAACCAAAGGAGTCAGAGTGTCTGTGTGTGGAGTGTGTGTGTAAGTGCTCTCCATCTTGCCAGCCTCAAATCCAAACCAATTAGAGAGGCCAGATGGTGGGTTGGACTCACAGTAAATAGCTGTGCATTGACAGAACACGCCTGCAACAAAAATTAACTGTGACAAGGTGCCAGGATGACAGAGATACATGACAGCATCAAAGCACCAGGCAAACATCGGGGATGCGCTGCCTCGACCGCCATAAACCAACTGTCACAGTTGTGGGGATGTTAACGGCACAACTTGATTGCATTGTTTGATGGCAGCACAGAGGGGTTACTTGTATGTAAAACAAAATAAGGCAGATGCACATACACGCATGAAAGCACACATTCATTCCCATGCCAGAACATTCATACACAAACCTTTACACACACACACACACACACACACACACGTTAAAATTTGACCAAACCAGTTTGGTTCAGTCCGAGTTCAAACAATGCAGCCTTTGAGAGGCGGTCCTTTCACCGAGTTTCAGCTTGGCCTGCACATTCCCCAACTGAAAACACAAGCTGCCTCCCTCCAGGATAACCACTGAAGTTACAGCAACGCATTCCTCACATCTATCTCTGTGTGTGTGTGTGTGTGTGTGTGTGTGTGCGTGCGCGCCTCTGAGAGGTGTTGGGGCTCCACTGAATATGATCATATACAGTTTATGCATCTTGAAATAAGTGAGTGCATATGAGCTTTCTATCACCACTCTTTACAATCCACATGCTCCGGTAAGAAATGTGCCCTTTAAACAAACACAGCAGTCTCCTACTGGTTACCAAGGCAGCAAGTTTACTTCAGCCAACTACGGAAACATATAGGACTCAGAGAGACTGAGAGGAGGTGGAGCTTGAGCACAGGACAATTGTAATGCACTAAATAGCCCCTCCTATTTCTGTGCTCCGTTTCATAAGCTTGTTATCACACCTCTGTTGACACACATGCAGATTTATCAAAACTGAAATGAGACAAACAGCCAGACCAGGAAATGAGTAAAAAAACAAAACACACAGAGGGGGGAGGGGGTGTCTGGAGTGTGAAGGATGGGTGACAAGAGACAGAGAGGCCACTTCATATCCCAATCCATTAATCTAATCAGTGAGAATCAATGACTGGCGCTCTTATCCATCTACTTCCTCAGTCATCCAAGCTAACCTCACGTGTTAAAGAGAAAGAGGGAAGAAAAGGAGAATCAGATATCACACGCAGCAACACTGGAACATTTTAAAAATCAAGAAATCTTTAATAGCAACCAAATACAAAAAAAAATATAGAAAGACACAACAAAATGGTGACAATTATAATTAGTTTTTTTTTTTTTCTTCAAAAGACCAAAATAAAATCGTAAATTTAAAAAAAATTACAAAAATAAAAAGTAACGTTAACACAGAGCAGTCGATAATAAAAAGCACATTTTGGGGTAAGACTGTTTTGTTGTGTGTACAGTTCATTTGTATAGAAGAAGCACATTTGCCAGTTTTGGCAGCAATCACAGCGCAGCAGTCAAGAATAAAGCACTCAGAAAACATGAATTATAAAGCACTGCAAAATAACAGAAAAGAGGGGAAACTGTAAAAGGGGAAAATAAATCCTTCATGCTTGCCGTCACTGAGAAATACACAAACGTGACACCATAAATTAGTAATATCTTTTTCTCTGCTACATATTTATATATTTATACTATGTACACAGGGAAGTTCTCTCTCTCTTTTTTTTTTTTTTCTTCTTTTATGCGAGTGAGATGGGAGATGTTAAGGCTTTGATTAGTCATCAAATGTTTGGAGCAGAAGAAATTGCAACAGTATGAGGATTTGTGTGTGTGTGTGTGTGTGTGTGTATGTGTATTTTGACTACCTAACCTTGTGCTAGACCCGGGCCAGGATCGTGATTTCTCTAAAAGCATTTTGTCTGACAAGCCTCACTTGGGTGCTGAGGTGGGTAGCAACAGTGTGTGTGTGTGTGTGTGTGTGTGTGTGTCTCTGAGGAGGCGGCTGAAGTGAGAGAAGTCTAAAACAACATTTTGTCGATGAGTAGGAAGTTGTGTGACTCTAAAAGCTTTCGAAGGGATCCGGGAAGGGGGAGCAGGTCAGCGCGGTGGCTTTTTAATAAAAGCTATATTCCCAGAGTGAAACAAAAGTGGAACGGACAAACGGTTTCCTAAAAAGCCTGTTTCTCTGATAATGGGTGAAAGGCGTGCCCCTGAATGCGCAGTTGTCGCTGTTCTACATGGTCGTTCAGGTGATTCTGGATCAGGTTGGACTATTTGTGGGGGAATAGAAAGCAGTGGAGCAGGGGACACATCATGCTGCAGCTCTTTCCACAGTAACAGGACTCGGTATATGTCCTGACGGAGCCACTGAGCAAGAAGAGGAGAAAGAGTTTTTGTGTGCGTTTGCTTTTGTGTGCAGCTATGCGAGTGCATTTGTGTGGGCTTATGTCAGGAGATGGCAGACTTGTCAGGTATGAGGTGTCTTCTGCACAGTTCGGCTGTGGGAGTGTGCATAATGAGAGTGACTGAGGGGTGTTTGTGTGTGGGCGAATGTTCCTGTGTTCTGCGTGCGCGCATATACACACATT